TTAAGCTCAGCGCTCTTACCATCCCTGTCACATTCTCTCAAATGTTGCCCTACTGGCGAATCTTCCTTGTGATGCTCTTCAATCCGCGTGGTCAAATGCCGGACCGTTTGTCCAACATAGGTGGAATTACATCCACTACATGTGAGCTTGTAGACCACTCTGGATTTCAAATCTTTCGCAAAGGGAGATTTAAGGGACGGTAGGCAAGTCTTGAGCTTTCTCGTAGTAAATATCACTTGGGCTCCGGCGTTTTGACGCAGTTTGGCAGCAAACCACTCCGATGCATTACCCCGGTATTGTAATGTTATAATGGGTGCACTGACCTTTAAAGGATCTTCCTTGACTGATGTTACCGTTGTTCGTGTGTCAGTTTTTCCGTCGATGATCTTATTCAACGTTCTTAATACGACACCATCTGACCATTTTTCAGGGTATTGATTATCCACCCATTGTTCTTTATTAATCTTCATTGCCTTGTCAAAGTTTTCCCATGTTGATGTACTTCTAAAAATACGATGAGCAGTACCCTCAACTACATTGCGTTTGTAATGCAATGGAGCACAGCTTCTGAAGTTAAGGATAGTTCCAGTATCCGTTGGTTTTTGATACCATCCACATGTTACCTTTTTTCGTGAGTCCACATTAATGTTCAAATCTAGAAAAGCTAAGTCCGGATTTTCGAATCCGGATTTTCGATAGTGAATTGTAAGTTGGGGTGGAGCTCATTAGCTGCTTTTAACACTATATCATCTATATCCCTTTACCGTCCTCACTATATCATCTACATATCATAGGAACGCTTTGACATTTTCTGTTGGTTTTTCTTGATCTCGCTGCTCTTTACATCTCTTACAATACCAAAACATTTCTGAGATTTGCTCATATTCTTTGTCGGATACATTACTACACTTTAAATGGTACCAATTTAAACAAGCTTCGCATTCGATCCCCTTACTTCTGTATGTTACCCTTCAATCGCAATCAGGGCATAGGCCATTCCGGTTTTCATTTAGCTGTGTCAGCGCAGGTACTTCCTTCATTAATGCATATTCGTACTCCTTTAGCCATAAATTGGCAAGAATGACAGCAAGGGATGCACCCATTGCCAACCCATCCTTTTGTACGTACCATAAACCATTGCATTTGAAGTGCACCTTACTTACAGCCATGTTCAACAATTTCTTCATAGTTCCGCGTGCCAGTTTAGGAGGACTAGTTTGTTCGTACAGTTTCCTCAGTGCTATATCTATTGCCTCCTTTAGTGGGACATTAGTATACAAACTTTTGACATCCAGGGAGATAATACTCTCATTATAGTCTAGATCTATGTTCTCTATGATCTCCCGAGCCATTTGTGTGTTTGTCTCAATGTTTGCCCCCTCAATGTTGTCAAAAAATTTGGCCAAAGTTTTATTTAGATGTTCATATGAGCTCCCTGGCAGTGACAGTACGGGACGGAGAGGGGTTCCTTTCTTATGTACTTTAGCCAATCCATATAATCGAGCTGGCTGCCCTCCCGTGGACCTAAGCCTACTATACAGTGCCTCATCGATCTCGTCTTTCTTTTTCATGGCCAACAGTTCTTTGTTGATGTCTTTCTCAATTTTCATAACAACACTATCAGTTAAACCTGGTTTTTCGCTAAATTGTTCCGATTGCAGCAGCTCAGTTAAGTTAGCCTCATATGTCGTTTTCTTCATTACACAGAAGCCAACACCTTTATCGAATGGGACTGCCAAGAGACCATTGTCCTTCAAATACTTCCTGGCTTTCTCAATCCCTCTATCCGACGGTGTTTGCCGCACACGTTTAGCGTATGATTTTGCAGCAGCTTCAATTTCACATAATTTTTCACCTGGTACCTTTTGCGATTTAAGCTCAGATAAAAAATTATCAATGTCCGCAAGAAAGTGAAGTTCATTGAAACGATCCCTCACCGGGTGCTTTGGGCCAAAACCTAACACTTCATGAACCCACTTGGGTAGCTCAATGCCATCTAGTGCTCTGACCGATTTGTCATTCACTTTCATTAACGGTCTGTCCTGCCGCTCTGCTAGCTTTTTTAACTTCCTTTCATGTCTTTCCTTGATGTCATGGATAGCAATTCTAGCCTGGAGCTTTAGATTAAATGCTATTGAGGGCCACCATTTTTCATCTATCCCTCTCCGCACTACCTCTCTTGCCTTAGCTAGATCATCGTCTATCTTCTTCTCTTCTGACCTTGCCTGATTTATCTCTGTTCTTAGGAGTTTTAATTGAAAGCTATGCACCGCTTGGTCCAAAAAAAAACCATTTTCTGGCACCCGAAATCTCAAAAAATCTGGTATTATGTCATTGCTTTGACATTTCCGTAAAAACTTCAATCGATGGAAATTGTTGTTTAATTTATTTGAATACTTCAGGTAATTCAAAACTAATTTCCAAGTTTGTTTTTTCCTGAGTATCCATCTCAGCATCGGTGGGGGCAAAACTACGGCGGTCCTCATCCTGCAGGCCACGAGCACTTAAACTCATGCGGCTCTCAGCAGGATAATTCACACAGTAGATTCACTTACCCAATCCGCGCCCTTTCAGCCGATGGTAGAGAGACGTCAGTCGTTGTTTCCTCTCTGCGTGCCTTCGCCTTGCTTCGTCCTTGTGATGGTTTCTGAGTCCGCGCTCTTATCTTTGAGAATATCCCGGGCAAGTTCTCTCTATGTGTCAGCACAACTCGCAATGACTTCAACTCAAGTTCGCTCGATTGATGAACTTTCAGGTATTGTCTCACCAAAGCGGGATCCTGCCTCTTGCCTCTCGAGATCAATTTCGTTGTTGGGACTATCAAGATCCCTGTACGCATCAGAGAATCAAAGATATCTGTCGTTCTGGTTCTTCTGCAATATATAATCGCCTTAAACCGATGTCGCTTTGATTGCAAATACGAAATTAAATCGTCCAGAGGATAAAGCGTGTTGGCATTGGTTCGGTGTTTCGACAAACTGTTATTCAATACGTCGTGCCAAAGAATTATCTCCTTGTCCACCAGAGGATGCTCTTCCAGAAGAGTCTGTAAATTTTGTCTCTTCCTCACGGTATGAGGATTCAGCGATAATCCCGATTCAGCTTATACCAGTTCGTCCAGTTCCGCTTTCTCTGCTGGTCGTAAGGTATTCAAGCTATGAAGTAGAGAGCTTGCAGCTACAACCCATGCCATTTTAACTCAAATGTAAGAAAACTCATTGTTAAGATGAGAAAAAAAATAAAAATTAAGACTATTCTGAGAAAAATAAAAATGATCTAAAAATTTTTTGTTTGTATTTTTACAACAAACTTTTTAATATATCATTCACTCTTCGCCGAGGTTATTTTTTTTTCCAAAATTTAACAAAAAGTAGAATAAGAATTTTTTAAAATTGTTAATTCAAACGTTTTCGCACATTTTGTGCTTCGTAAGGATATAAAATTTTTTATTTACAATAAAATGATCAAAGATCATGTATGAAATTCAAAAAGAACATGTTAGAAATTTTTAACCAATCATATTCTTACATCTGTTATTACGTAATCATTATTTCATCGATTATGACAATTTCCATACTTTTTTGTTACTTGAGTCATAATTTTTCGATTTGATGTTTTATCCAAACTGACATGTCAGTTTTTTTTTCAAAAATTGCAATTTTTAGTCATGTTTAAACATGTACTATAATTTTAATGTCAAACTGACATGTACTATAATTTTAATGTCAAACTGACATCAAATTAACGAGCTTGATCCAGCGGATTCATCAATCCGGAAGGGAAAAGGAACTGAAACTTTTATCCTGTTACATAAACTTTTAGCTTCCTGTCATGTCCTGACTAACATCTAGATTCATTTTGATAAGGATGAGAAGCTAGGAGTTGGGGGAAAGGATTGATCCATCTTCGATGGAGATGATGATTTTTATCTACTGAACAAAAACAATAGTAATATAATCAATAGTAGTAGCCCTGTTTTTAGGAGTGACCTCGTGGTCTGGGGATACTGAGACCCAGCCATGAGCTCACTATTTCTGCATGTAATCTAGTTAATTTGAGTGTTTTGACCGAAGCCGAAAGCAGTAACGTTTTTGTCGACCCGATGTTAGAAAAGACCACCGAAAGTACTGGCTTGGTAGAGACGGTGAAAAGCATGCAAAGCTCTGTTTAGACGTTAGCCAGTCGTCTTAAGACTTAGTTTTGTCTTCCGTCGATATGTATCTTCCGGGCGAATGTTACACTATGGAAAACTTTCATGGAAAGATTTCAAGTTTTTCTTGTGAAAATTCCTTATGATGCTTTGAACTGAAATTCTTGTTTGATTTTTGATCATTCTGTAAGTTTTAAGTAGAATTTAAAATCTGAAAATGTGCAAAAATGTTACTTCAATTTACAATATTAACGTATTCGTGTCATTTTTCATTTGAAATTTTTGAACGGAAATATTTTTTGTTGATCTAAATCGAGCTTGTCCTGGTGGTGCGTACCCACGAAGCCGCATTCCCGAATAGCCGACAAAAACTACATACCTTCGATTGTAACTAAATTAAAAAAGAAAATTTCTTAGCAAATAACTCATTGTGATCGAACAAGCCTGATAGCTAACAACTTTCCGAAAATCTTTAAGAGATTTTATTGGCTGATACGTTCTCAATGAATTAATTAACTACTAAAGTCCGGCTACTTTCGTCCTAACAATAAAACTCCGGTTTTTCCGGATATAGTTAACAATTGCCCCCTCCCCATGATATCTAGTAAAGAATGCCTTTAAAGGGGAATAACTTCTTCAAACAGGAAGTTTGTAGGTGGGGGGTGGTGGGGGGGGTTTGGGTCTGGCAGTTACTACCCTCTCAAACCCAACAATTGAATTACATAATAATTTTGTGGCCCCATAATTTTTCTTTTTCCGGAGAGGGGGGGGGGGGTAAATGTGAGTAGGGGGGAAGGCAAATGGTAAAAAGTGGGAAGGGATATTGGTGGTGCAATCTACTTTATTTTAGAAGCTATATCGTATTGTCACAAAAACAATATCGTTCATCGAGACCTCAAGCCAGAAAATCTTCTCTTAGAAAGCAAGAAAAACAAAGATGTCAAACTAGCTGATTTTGGACTAGCCATTGAAGTGAACGACCAGCGGCGGCAATGGTTTGGGTTTGCAGGTTAGTGAAACTGTTAAGTAATGGCTGTCGGTGTTACACATACGAGAGCGCGTTGTCAAAAATTTAAACCTCTGTCCTAACATTTTTGTTCTGACTTTCGAAAATTTGTTTTCCGGGTGGTTTGTTCTCCAGACAAGTATCGTATGGGGGAGGGGGCTTTATATGCCAAACAAACTCTTTTTTTTGCGCGTGGGTGGTAATATATACCAAATAAAAACTTTTATTTTCCAAATATTACTTCAGATCCTTTAACGAGCATTCAGGACTTGGGCTGTGAGCAGTTTGTTCAAGAATATAGTCTATGGAAGCTAGTCTAGAAATCATACAATTTCATATGCCGATTTTTTCAAATTAGGCTTGTTCCTTGTGCGTAACACGATGAGATGATTATACAAACGCATAGAAATTTAGTAAATTAGCCACAACTGACAACAGTTGTCTTCACTAAAAGAGAAACACAAATGAAGAAAAAAGTTTTTTTTTTAAATTTTTTTGCACAATAATTTTTCAAATCTCTTTGAAAACGTATATTGCCAAGGAAGCGCTAACTTCAGCTTCCAAAACTAGTTTTTTCAAATCTGTTTAGAAAACTTTTATTGCCAAGGAAGCGCTAACTTAAACTTCCAAAACTAGCTTCCAAAGTAAAATCTGAGGTGGAAAAGGGCAAGAATAATAAGTATAAAGAGACAACTTTTTTGAAATCCAATGCAACTATCATATTAAAGCTGCTGAGGGTATTTTTCAAGTTAAGAAAAAGTTATATTTAAAAATAGTCGATTAACGGTCTTCATTTCAATCCCACGAAATTAAAGAGACGGGAAGTTTGCGCTGTGCGAGTTGCAAAGAGCTCTTTGTTGCAGGGAGTTATCTGATGAAAAGCATCCTCGAAAGCTTTTAAGCATACTTGTCAATCATCACCTGCCGGATATTAGCGTAAGAGAACACTCCGGATGTCAATTTCCCTTAATGTTAACAAAGTTTATTTTAGAGGGATCTAAATATAGTACATTTGAATGTTGTAATCTAGAAAAAGTTGTGTTCAGTTTTATCTGACGCATCAAATAATTTAACAAGTTTTTGAGCGGGTTAATGGTAGAAAACAGGCCACGACAAGCTGTTTTGGTCTAAAAAATTGCCAATTCGCTGAAATTATTCTTTTCCCAATTCATTCAATTTTTGGAGCTCGATCGGCATGTAAAAATGATAAAAAACGACTGCTCTTGACTTTTTGTTTTCTTTTTACCTCTTAAAAAAATTTTGGATGGTGTAATGACTATTTATAGAGAATTTGAAAAGCGTTTAAAAAATAAGTAATACCAGAATGCACAGATGTGTTTAAGGAAAAAGCCGTGGTGTTGGTGGGTTATGTGTTCAATAAGATTGCAATAGGAGAACTTTTGTTATTTAGGAACTCCAGGCTACATGAGCCCGGAGGTGATTCGGAAGGAGCCTTACGGGAAGCCAGTAGACATTTGGGCCTGTGGAGTGATCCTGTACATCTTACTAGTCGGATATCCTCCCTTCTGGAGCGACGATCAGCAAGTCATGTTCGGACAAATCAAAGTGCGGTTTGACCTAATTGAAAAGCATGATAAGTGTTAAATAGCCCGCCATGCAATAATTTTATTTAAAAAAGTCGTAGTTGAATCCTATCTTAGCTATTTTCATCGCAGTCATATAGTTTTTTGTCCGATGATCAAGATGTAATGGTTTTTCCTATGTTGGTGTCTCATAAGTGTTATACAGTCACGGAACATAGAACTTGCAATTTTCAGTTTTCAAGCGATGAAATTAACAAAGTTTTTTCGCGTTTCTGCCGTTTTCTCAACGGCTACAAAAGTTTCACGGTTGAAATTTTGACTTAATTCAGATGAAACTGTTTATTATCCCGGATAAAAAAAATTAAAAAACTGTTTTCGAGGCGACGAGGGAGAAGCAGTTTAAAATTTTGGGCTTTAAAGTTTTTATTGGAAAGCTGAAGATCGAAGCTAGGACCTCATGTATATTCTTTATTTTAAAAAGAATACAAAAAACTACTCAGCTACGAAATAAAATTAAATCCGACTTTTGGCATTTTACTAAATCAGTTGCTGAATTTTCAGTCAACTTTTGTTTTAAAGCTTATTAAATGTTTAGGTTGCTTTTGTGGAGGGGAAACTTTTATAAGGCCTAGCTTAGATCCTTATCTTCAAAGAATGCTGTAACGTCCAAAGTTTCAAACTGCTTTAGCTATTTACGCGGACATTTTGGACACCTTTCTGATGTTCTGGAATTGAATGCACAAACGATGCCTCGAAAACAATTTTTAGCGGTTTTTACCCGGGCTGAATTATAATACACAGTTTCATTTACAGTCACGGGGCATAGACTTTGCAACGGGGCATAGTAGTTGCAACGGGGCATAGAAGTTGCAACGGGGAGCATAGAAGTTGCAACGGGGCATAGTAGTTGCAACGGGGCATAGAAGTTGCAACGGGGGGGGGGGCATAGAAGTTGCAACGGGGGGCATAGAAGTTGCAACGGGGCATAGAAGTTGCAACGGGGCATAGACGTTGCAACGGGGAGTATAGAAGTTGCAACGGGGGGCATAGAAGTTGCAAGGGGGCATAGACGTTGCAACGGGGAGCATAGAAGTTGCAACGGGGCATAGTAGTTGCAACGGGGCATAGAAGTTGCAACGGGGGGCATAGAAGTTGCAACGGGGGGCATAGAAGTTGCAACGGGGCATAAAAGTTGCAACGGGGCATAGACGTTGCAACGGGGAGTATAGAAGTTACAACGGGGGGCATAGAAGTTGCAACGGGGCATAGACGTTGCAACGGGGAGCATAGAAGTTGCAACGGGGAGCATAGAAGTTGCAACGGGGAGCATAGAAGTTGCAACGGGCAGCATAGAAGTTGCAACGGGGAGCATAGAAGTTGCAACGGGGGGCATAGAAGTTGCAACGGGGAGCATAGAAGTTGCAACGGGGGGGGGCATAGAAGTTGCAACGGGGGGCATAGAATTTGCAACGGGGCATAGAAGTTGCAACGGGGCATAGACGTTGTTTTCAAGCGATGAAATGAGCTCTTTTTTTTGTTTCTGCCGTCCGGTCACTTAATCAGAGGGCGTTGGAAATGAGTTCTTATTGCCAAAAAGTTCCCGTCAACGGTAGAAACAGAATTTTCGACCTAAAAAATTCTTTTGGACCCAAACGAATCTAACCTATTCTCGCAATTAAGTTTTCCTTTACATAAAAAATAATGAAAAAATAAGTAAATTTTGCAACATGGTAAACAAATGAAGAGGATAGACTAAGGGCATCTTCAATTCCCACTGAGAGTCTACGCAGCGCTCTGTTTTTTCTCGGAAAATATCATTAAATCTTCGTCCATATCTCGAAAACTTGCAACATTTGAGGGGCCCAATTTTATGGGTTGCCGTTAGAAAATATTTGAAGCAATTTCCAGTGTCCGCAATTTGTCATGTGATAGCCTGTTATTTTCACCAATTTTTTTCTTGGTTCCAGAGAGGTGACTTTGACTTTCCATCACCGGAGTGGGACGATGTAGGGGGTGAAGTGAAGAAGTTGATCTCAGACATGTTGAATCTAGACCAAGAGACTAGACTAACTGCAGAGGACGCTCTCAACAACCCATGGGTCTCAGTAAGTCTCATCTTCCTCCTCAAATTGCTGTACTTTTATTGCATTCTAGTGGAATGTCAAGTTTCTATGTGGTTTTTGAATAGCGGATGATTGTCAATATTTTTCAAGTGACTTTTTTCATGTTGGCCAAATTGATCACGCGAAGCCTTTCTGGTTGGTCTGGCCAAAATATTTGGTGCTGTTTACGCAAATATTTGAGAAAAAGAACTTGAAAATGCTGCCCTTGGAAAAAATCTTGGATTTTTCAGGCTAAAATGAACGTCGAAAAATAAAAACGAAGGGGTGTAATTGTCTGCACCCAACGATAAAGACCATAAATCCGACCACCATGTTTGGCTTTGTTCATTTATTTCTTGAGTGAACCTACCTGAGCTTTACCTTCATTGTTATAACTTGATTAGGTGGTTTCATTTGTTCTAGGCAGTGTCATTTTTGTTGGGTCATGTCTTATGTTTTAATGGAAACTTCAAAATAGTTATGTATAAGATAGTTTTAAAAAACAGGCAATTATGAACCGTTATTGTTTAAGAATCGAGACCGATTCGCTGCCAGCTTCCACAGGCAAGCGACAGTTGAGGCCATGAAGAAATTCAACGCCCACCGCAAACTCAAAGGAGCAATCCTGTCAACAATATTCGCTGCTCGGAGTACTCGTGCCCTGACCAATTCAGCCAGGTCACACACGACAGCAGCAAGTGTGGCTAATGGAAGTCAGAATGCAGCAGCTGCCGGGGGAAGTCAAGCGGCCTCTAAGTCGGTACTGGCCGGGGCTATAACTCCGGACGATGATACAGAAGCGGGCAGGAAGCAACTTATCATCCAGCTCACAGAAGCAACGATTAAGTGTATGGAAAATGGAGATTACGAAGCTTATTCGTGAGTAGATTAATCATTTTTAGGAGTCGATGAACGTAGTGCAGAATCTTCTATAGGTCGTGATGATTTTTTTTTGTTTTAGCAGAAAAAAGTCAAAATTTGCTCACGCTCAATTTGGATTTTCGAGGTTTTTCTTTTGATTTATTTGTAAGTTCACTTCATTTCCTTTGTTAAAAGGAAGTTGAAATGACTATCGAACAGAAAAAGTGTAAAGCTCACTAAAATGTTACCGATTTCTAGTTAGGAAAGTGGTTTTTAATTTTCAGATTTCTCTGCTGAATATAAACTTGCCTTTTAACCCAAGTTTCTCAAATTGAGTTAGTTTATCAACAAAGTTTCAATCATAAATTGTTCTTGAAATTCAAAGAGCCTTAAGGCCATAGATTTTTTCTTTTAAATTCAAGATTTTGAATTTCAGAAAACATTTCAGTATTTTTTTTTTCATCGCTTTCGTTGACTCTTTTTCAACAGACCCTCCTCAATTAAATTTAAAAAATTAAACCTAAAAAAAGGAAGTTTTTTTGTTTTTCTAGTTTTTGAACAACTCTGGTTGAAACCTTTTTTAGTTTTGGTTGTGTAACCGACTGTATTTATCAAGTGTTTTCTTGTGCAGGTAATTGTGTTCGTGAATTTTTTGCCTAGTTTTGTATAATTTTTGGGTATCAAGCTTTTCGTCAACAGCTGATTATTTTTTTGTTGTTTTTATTGCTTTCTAGCTTAAATTGTTTGGGAAGGTAGCCGTTTTATTTGATGTGTCTGAGATTAAGCAAGTATCAAGTGCTATTAAATCCAAAACATCACTTCTGTCATTTTTAAATAAAATCGTTCAAAACTTTTGGAAGAGTTTTTTGAAAGGTCATCTTGAATTGAATTGCACTATTTTTCCCAATTAAACTGTTTTTTTTCTATGATTTTGTTTATCTAAAACGTTTTCAAACACTATAGCGTTATCATGTTTTGAGCTTATTTTCATTCGAGTTTTTTCTGGGCACGTTTTTGAATCAATCAAAAATTAGTTTCTAGATTTTGGAATTTTTGGAACATTGTGTGGGAGAGTCTAGTATTTTTAATTGAAGTTTCAATTTCTTCTGAGTTGAGTTTTTCACACGATGTTTTTGGCTCTGAAGTTGTGTTATTAATTTTTTTCTCAAAAAATGTTGGTTTTTTTGAGTTTTTTTCGTCAAGTGTGATTTACAAAAGGTTTCATTGCTTGTCTTATGAGCAATTTTTTTAATTCTGTGCAGCCAAGTTAGTTGGAGCTGGACTGAAATTGTTGCTTGTAAATGTTTTATTTATTTAATTGCTGATGATTAAAACTCGCAAAACAGACTTTTTAATTTTTCTCATTTTTTCTCTTTTAATTTTTTTTCCATCGCAAGTGGTGCAAAGCTCGGCTTCGACTCTGAGCTGAAATTTTGGGTTTTGTTTTTTGTCTAGCCCACGAAAGAATTTCGGGCCCTAAAATTAATTAATTCATTGCTTTTTCGGACTGCGTATGGTTAGTTTTCTCGATGGGTTGAGGAAAATAAAATGAAAAATGATTCAGTTTACTGTGCAAGCGGATTATTTTTTTTTGCAATAGCGAAGCTGTTAATATTAGGACAGCAAACATTTCTGACCATCTCTTTTGTAAAGTTGCACAACTGGTGTTGCGGATTTCACGTATTTTGGTGTCCAAAAATTTTAATATATCATTGTGTGTATAAATATCCATTTAATGATCGACAGTTGGAACCAGGCCTGAATTTGAGGCCCGGCCCGGTTGCTGATCCTAAAAATGAGGACCGGGCCCGGCCCGTAAAAAGCCCTGGCCCCGTTCCAACTCTGATGATCGAACCGACAATTTTGAAGCAATCAGACCCAAATGTCAGAAAAAGGCGCCCATTTTTTCATATAATATTAACTGGTACTATTTTTAATAGACGTCTGTGTGATCCTCAGATGACCTCAATTGAGCCGGAGACGTTCGGTAATGTAATAGAAGGCATGGAGTTCCACAGGTTCTACTTTGAGAATCAGAACCACAAGAACAAGAGTGCCAGTAAAAGCATCATGCTCAAGCCATATGTGAACATGCTGGGACCAGACGCTGCTGTCATCTGCTACACCAGGTTTCTTGTAGTTCCATTGTCATCATTCCGAATTAACCCCACCCTCCCCCGAAGGGAATTATGGATTAACAAGTGTTTTTTGTTTTTTTTTCTCAATTTTGACTATCTCAAGGAAAGCTCGGAAGGGTTGAAATATGGTATTTTATAGAAGCCCTATTTTTCATGATTCGGATTACAGAAGAAAATTGCAAAAACGTTTGTCTCGGTGTCGAGAAATGCTAATCTGCATTTTTTTCGTTTTTCAGACTGTAATTTCTGTCTTCAATCTGATTGTGCTACATTTTACCTCACATGCAGTAGAATTATTATGTGTTGGTGAGTTTATTTGTTCATATATATGTTTATATATAAGATAATTTTATATATGTCTTAGTGAGTTTTTGTTTGCTTTTTTTCAGTTTTCTCAAATTATGTTTTATCAAAAATTGTCAATTATAAATTCTTTTAAAATTCAAGAGCTTTAAGGCCATATATTTTTTTCTTTGAAGTTAGAAAAACAAGTCAGTAGTGGTTTTCTGTTTCCTTCCGTTCATGAATTTTTTCCAATTGTTTGTGGAATATGTTTGTCTGCTTCAATTGATTTAAATATTGGAATATTGGTGCCACTTTTGGGGCACCTTTCCAGCTTTTTGATGGCATGTGCTTTGACATTTGTTATAAGTTACACTAGTTGATGCGGTTCTCATAGTTCAAATGAACTAAAAAAAGCTATTTGCTTCAAATATCAGTAACTTAACAAAAACTCGATTTCAGAAATTTTTCAACTCAATGTATCTCGCAATATTTGAAAAGCTTAATTTATGCATAATTTGTTATTATGCTTTTAAACTTATTACATGCGAAGTTAGCGTGGATGCCTTCAGTTCTTTACAAATAGACGCTATTTGGCATGTAATAATTTGAAATATAAGAAACTGAAGGAATTTTTACATGCCAAATTGTGTCTATTTGTGTTTGTTGCCATTTTTGCTGGTTTGCATTGGCAATTTATCAGCATATGTAGCTGCTTTATTAGTGACTAGTGTTTATGGGCTGTGAAGTGTTTGCGGCCGAGTGGTCAGGGCGTGAGACTCCAAATCTCGACGTCGCAGGTTCGAATACTATACATAGCAAAGTTTTACTAATTCGAGGCTTATTTCAATTTTTTTTTCGCTTTATGAGGATGGTTTGTTGTCGTGTTTTCGCAAGTTTTTGATCAATTCCATCCCTATCAATTGCTAGAAAAAGCGAAAAGTTTGAAATGAAATGTTTTTGAAATGCTTGTAATTTGATTTTTTTGAAATGTTTGAAAACGTTTTGGAGCAGTAGAATTTAACAGAAAGTTATTAGCCGGATTTATGAATCACCCTTATTACAGCAGTTAGTGTTTAAACGTTCGATTTAAGGGCATGCAATTTGTGAAACAATAGTTCGTTTATCGCCTAATTCGTTCAATTACCCGCCTAAATGCCTTCTATTTGTTTCTTCGCTGGTTATTAAGTTCATTGTCTAGACCAGACCCGTCTCCTTGTCATTCACCCATCCAACATTTGATATTTTTTTGCAAAAGCTAGATAGGTGTTCAATAGTCTTGCTTTTGTTAAAGTCTATTATATATTTAAACGCGGGCTTCACTATCTCGCCATGTTTAAGCTTTTTCAACGTAAGATTTTTGCATGTTTAAGCTATATCGTATATTGCAATGGTTAACATTTTATTTTCGATTTTCCATTTGATTTTAGTGGTTATTTTACCGAGTTTAAATTAAGCAGCCAATATCGAATTAGGGGCTGCGAATTCGGCCTCGAATTTTGAATGCCCGAATCATTTTGTTTAACGAGATAAGACGATTTTTATTTAACCCCAACTTGAAAAAGCTTAAACATGGCGAGATAGTGAAGCCCGCGTTGAAATATATAAAAGATTATTTTTTCAAAAATCTGAAATTCCCAACCCTGTAGTTGGGTACTGTCAGAGTACTATCAAGGATTGAGAATCTTGCCTGCAAATATGACTGCTCAAATCCTTGTAGTTTTCGAGATATGACGTTTTTTGTGATTTTTTCATCAAAAATTTTCAGAAAATTTTAATTAATTATTTCTGAAAATTTGAAATTTTCAACCTTGTAGTTCGGTACTGTCAGAGTACTATCAAGGATTGAGAATCTTGCCTGCAAATACGACTGCTCAAATCCTTGTAGTTTTCGAGATATTATGTTTTTTTGTGTGATTTTTTCAAAATTTTTCAGAAAACTTATATTAATTTTTTTTCGCAAAATCTGAAATTCCCAACCCTGTAGTTGGCTCCTGTCAGAATACTCTCAAAGATTGCGAATCTTGCCTCCAAATATGACTGCTCAATTCTTTGTAGTTATCGAGATGTGACGTTTTTTGATTTTTTCAAATTTTCTCAAAGAACTTATCTACAAAGAAATTCAAAAAATTTGAAACTACTAACTTGATGAAGATACAACCTTATTGTAAGCGTACACCCAGGCGTCTCAAATCTTGCCTCTTAATATGAATGCTCAAGTCCTTTTAGTTTCCGAGATAAGACGTTTTTTTTTTCGGGAAACTTAGATTTTAAAAAAATTCACAAAACTTTGAATTCCTAACCCTATAGTAGGGTGCTCTCAGGGACTCTCAGTGGTTGCAAATCTGGCCTCCAAATTTCTACAGAGGCCCATTTAGTTTTCGAGATGACGCTTTTAAAATGGGAGTTTGAAAAAATTAAAAAGTTCGAAATTAGCAACCCTGTAATTGGGTGCAGTCAGAGTACACTAAAAGTTTGCAGATGTTGTTTCCAATATATGCGGTTTTTCATGAGTTGTCAAAAAATTTCGACGCACCAGAGGTGCGTTAAACGGTAGTTTAATTAAATTAATGTTTCAGTTACTCATTCCAAATACTCATTTAATTGAAAAACTCCCGGTATAGTTTTGATATTAAATAATACATGGTTTATTTTTAGGCTGGAGCAGATACATGAAGAGGGCACAGGGGCGTTCAAGACGGTTGAATCTGTGGAGACTAGAGTTTGGCATAAACGAGACGGACAGTGGCAGTTGCTCCACTTCCACAAGAGCGATACAGGTTCCAACGCCACATCCTTCTCATCATAGACCACGCCATCTAAACCAATCAATGACACTCGCCAACTGACTAACTCGTAAGCAGAAAAAAATTTGACTTCTTATGCTAGGTTAGGGTACATAATGGTGTCAAATTTAGAAGTCCATGAGAACTTATGTATCATAATGTATCAAATTAAATAATTAATTTCAAAAAATTCAGTCGCCTAGAATAGAGCTAACCATTACACTGTTGACCGGCAATCTTTTAAACAGATTTAATATCACTTTCTATTTCTATGCAAAGCTAGATTATGTGATGCAGATGTCAGAAATAGCCCGAAAAATTGAATTTTGAATTTTTTTTAAATTGCGGATAAAGATGTATCAATGAAATATCTGTTTATCCTGTCAGTAGTTAATTGAACAGGGGGTTCGAAGTGCACGTCGCTCCCCCTTCAAGGGCAGACAGACTGAAGGTAAGGCGCCTTTGGATCAATATATAATATTTTTAAGGCGCCTTTTGCTCAATATATATGTTTTTTGAGGCGGTAGCGTGGGACGATGTTTTTCGGTCAAGTTCATCCTAAAACAGCTTTTTTGACTGTTTTTTTTGTTTTTGATTTTAAAAAAATGTCCAGCCTAAAGAATTCTTGAATTTGAACGAGCTCTAAGGTAATTTGTTTAGTTTCTTATGAAAGTTAACTAGTTGAAAAAATTTTCAAAACAATTCAACTTATCTTATCAGGCTTCTGGAAACGTTTTTAAAATTTCCCTTTCTGTCTTACCAGCTGGGATTGAACATTGGTTGGGTTCAAGTAGAGTTACTTGACAATATTTTAGCAATTTCAGTTTTCTGCGAAGCTATGTTATGTTGCGGTGTTTAATGCTACAGAATATCCATATTCTAAACTAACTCGATATGACCGGTATGGTATGTCTTGATATGTGGGCTTAAATCTTTCGGAAAGTTAATTTTCTGAAGTGGCGCCGAATAAAGAACGGTTTTAAAGCTGAATTTAATGATTTTTGTGCATATTTTTTAAAACTTTTGCGATAGAGTGTTTTGTAGTCGGGAACTAGACTTTATGAACAACTTGCTTGCACAGTTGTAACAGAAATTAAACGCGCTGCATCATAACGCTAGCGAGCAGCTAGTGTTTAGTACGAACCTCCTTTTTTCTAACCTAACTCGCAAATATAATTGGTCATTAAAAGTGTTCACTTGTGTGCCTTTTTGCTATAATCACGACCTGTAGCATTAGAAATTTCATAACATCTCTTTTCGGCTGTTGGTGACTAGTGTTTGTGATCGACTAAGCGTCCGTGGCTGAGTGGTTAGTGCATGAGACTCCTAATTTCTAGATCGTAGGTTTGACTCCGAGACGTCGCCGAATGTTTACTAATTCGAAGCTTACTTTTTCTTATTGAAAACTCATAGAAAACTTTTAAAAAGCTTTTTGTCGTGTTCTCGCTAGCGTGTTTCGCCTCTGTGTTAACCCTTAAGAATTTCCGGACTTCTTTCCACTTGGTCTGAAGGTAACGCGGCTGCCTTTGTACCTAAAGGTCTAGGGTTCGAGTGCCGGTCGGACATTGTTTTTTTTTCGGTATGGATGAAATTAACTTTTTTTCTGTGAAAATTGAATTGTCGAAGTTTAGTTTTTCTGCTTATGTTTTGTCAGTCTTATTGCCATACATCGCTTTTTCTTGCGCTGTAAACAATTTTCATTGTAATTGCAAGAGTTGTTGATTTACTCCTGTAATTTTTAATTTTTTGAACCCTGACTTAGGATGTATATTTTTCGCTTGAAAGCTAAGGTCTGTTGTGATGCAAAATTTCGAGAGTAAGTGTCTTGTAATCGGGAACTTAACTTTTTTTTAACCGTAAACTACTTTTATTACAACAAGCTGATTTTATTTCATTAATTGACCTAACAACTTTCAGGTTGCTTTACTTTAGTGGGTCATAAGTAGTTTGTGTTTTTGAAATTTTCCATAAGTACAAAAATACTGATAAAGAGTAATGAACTTAGTGAGTACTCTTTTTTAAAGGTCTTGGTGATTTTTATTGTTTTTCAGGAAAAAGTCTTGAAATTTTTTTTCGCTCTCAAATTTGATTTACCGCAATTTGGCTTTTTGTTCAGTTCAGTTCAATTTCTTTGTTAAAAGGATGGCAAACTGCACTATCGAACAGCGAAAGTGTAAAGGTAACAAAAAAGGTGAACGAATTCTAGTTTCGAACGTGGAATTCAATTTTCAGATTTCCCAGCGAAATAAAAATTTTATTTGTCGATCCAGTTTTTCAAATCCAGTTGATTTTAGAAAAAAAATTGCCAATCATAAAATGTTCTTGAAACTTAAAGGGCGTCAAAGCCATCTATTTTTTTTTGAAATTCGAAAATTTAGATTTTAAAAAAAAAACAAGTCAGTATTTTTTTCTGTTTTCTGGTGTTCTGTTCGTTGGCTTTGATTTTCATTCTATTAATGCAAAGTTTGGGCTAATTAGTGTGCTTCAGTTCAATTTCAAATAATTTGATTCACCGAGTATTTGCTAATTTGAGAGTCAAATTTTGCGTGAGAAAACAGAATAAATATGAACCAAAAAACAAATAATTTAATTTTTTCAACTGGCTTAATTTTATTCACAAACACTCAGCAAAATTCATTAATTATAGACTGAAGTCAATTTTCAAATGAAATTTGAAGCAAATTCTCATTTGCTAGCAATAAGGCGATCCAAAGTGGACAATTGAAAGCGAAACTCAATACTAAAAGATAATTCAGCAATCTTCAAAAGGGCAATTCTAAGCCTATAGGAGTCTATTTCAGACTTTGGCAGAGAGTGTATATTTTTGCAAATTTGATTCCAGAAAAAAATTCTCTAGACAGTAAATTTTTTGAAAATTCGGGAAAAGTTGCTTTTTTCTGTTATGCGTTGTTGGTAGCAGCTTTCATTTGGCTGTATTTGTTGATTTCATAAATGGTTTTCTAATTAAATGTTTGGGCCAAGTGAACGGTCTCCCTCTTAATCACTTTAGGGAGGAGATTGTTCACTTGGTTGAAATAACCGTGAGAATGTTCATTTGCTTTATTAAGGGGGGAGTTTGCTCACATGAGCCTAATGTTTATATGAGTTCGGGTTTTTAGTTTGCCGAAAGGATCAGAATGAGTGAACAGACTGCACAATGACAATCAGTTGCTGAATTTGAACTGGAAGATATGAAGAAAAATCAAATGACAAAAATTGAATATGGCGAGAAAACAGAGGATATTTTCTGAGATAAACCAACTTTCGATATAGATTTGTAAACACCGAAAATTTGATTCAAACAGCAATGAGGTGCCATTGACAAGCAAAAAGACTTCAGGCCAATCAGTTTTTAATTTTTATTTATTTTTTTAGTTTGTGTAATTATTGCTGCCCTCATCGACATTATTAAGTTTCATTTATCTGTTTTGATACAATATTGTTAAATCTCAAATCTATCAATGACTATTTCTATTTTGCGTTACTATCCAATAGTTCTTCATTTCTCATATTTGATCCGAGTTCTTCACCTAGAGGAAATTAAGCTACTGTAAATCTGAATATGTGGAAAGTGTTGGGTTAAATTGTTTCTTCCCATCTAGCAATTCACATGTGTTAGGAATGCTTCAGCGGTAGCTTAATTGATCTTTTCAGTTTTGCAGTCATTTTCAATCAGCTGCATTAAATTTCGTTTGATTTTATAAATTGAAAATAATTGCTGTGGTTATTCATTGATTGATATTCAAATAAAATTTTGTTTCCGGAAAATCTTACGCGAAGAAACAGCAATCTCCCCACATTGAGATACCTAAGTTTTATGTCAGTTTTCAAATCCTTAACAGTTATGGTTTTGATTTATAAGAATGATGCATGTAGTGAAGACTCTTGATTAGGTCTTGCTGAATTTTAATTGTTTTTTTTTCAGGGAAAATTCTTAAAATGCTCTAATAACTACAGATGTGCATTCATACATATTGATGCATTTATGAATGCACTTAGGTACATATGTACTTTTTGAGTTCAATTGAAATTCATCAGTTAAAAGTTACTTAAATAGTACTCTCAAGATACGAACGTGGAAATGGCGAAAAAAAAACGAACGATTTCTAGTTTCAAAAGTGGAATTTAATTTAAAGAATTCCAGTGAAATAAAAACTTTACATGTTGATCCAGTTTTCTCAAGTTGGGATAATGTTATCAATAAAAGTGCCAGTTATAAATGGTTCTAGAAATTCAAACGGCTTAAAGGACATCTGTTTTTTTCACGTTAGAAAGTTAGATTTTGTTTCACAAGTCATTTTTTTGATGTTTACTTGCGTTCATTATTCTTTTCCAATCTTCGATTGGCTGTTTAGAACTTGTAAGTTGTTTATGAATAGTTGATAAACAAATTAATTCAACAAATCAGAACTCAGGGCTTGAAAATTTCTGATCCTTGCAAACAAAATTCTCAGATGCGTAACTTTTGTTTTTTTTTCTTCAATTTATCAAATAATAACAAGTTCCAAATTTTTCACACGCTAAATGGAAAACAATATTTTGTTCTTGTTCTTATTCATGCGTAATGAACGAAGTGATTACTGAAAGCTGGATAACGAAATTAGTTCTTTTTATTTTGGTCGTGAAAATTCATTCAGGGTAAATTTATTCCCGCTCATTCTCAGCTTTTAACGTTTTGTTCTTCATGATCTGAGTTCACTTAAAATTTATTTGCTCATTGAACGGCAAATTAGGCACTTCTATAATCATAGTGGGCAAAATTGAATGAGGGTTTTTTGTTTCAGAAGTGGATTTCGAAATTGATTACCCAGCGAAATATAAAAAATTGGTTTTGATCCCGCGTGGAAACAAGATAGCTTGCGTGTTTTATGATTTGTCTTTTTTCTAACCGAAGTCGCCCTTAAGTGTAGAATTGTATGTCAAGTTTATGGTATAATAACAGAGCATACGATCTAGCTATCCGCTCTTTGCTATGGGCATTTAGCTATCCGCTCTTTAGCAAGCGCCTTTTACCATTTTATCATGGGACAAATGGCATAAGCTTAACATCTTTCAGGCTGACTTGGTTTAGAGGTAAAGGAATACTAGTTGGAGCACAATTTTCAGTGTGACAGTCCCGGCTGGACCTTGTATTTCTTCGAATTAAGGAAATTGAAGTTCTTAGGAAAACTACTTTTGTCGGAGCATCAATTTTCTACTTACTTTCTGTTAGTTTTCTATCCAAAGCTTAAATTTTTTCTTCAAAGTATCTTTTTTCTTCGGTTTAAGCAATTTAAACTAATTGAAATTGTTTTCTGTAGTTGATTATTTTACTAATTCTGCTTTTGTTTAATTACTTCATTTTTTTTCACAAACGGGTCCGGCTCAAGTAAAATTATTTAATAACCTCATTTTTCGTCGTATGAATGTCAAAAGTAAATATTCATGCTTTGAATGTGTTTCAGGAGGAATGGAATTAAAATTTCCGAAATCCTAAATGTTGTAGATCTATTTTTATGACAACGTTCTGGTTTTGGCTCAACTGGCGTCTGCCCGAATATTAGCGGCTTAGTAAATGCTCGTTAATCTGTTATATATTTAAATGCGGGCTTCACTATCTCGCCATGTTTAAGCTTTTTCTACGTATTATTTTTACATGCTTAAGAAAAGAATTTTTTAACGTTTAAGCTTTATTGTATACTGCAATGGTTAAGATTTTTTTTTCGAGTTTGAATTCAGTGTTTGTTTCACCAAGTTTGAAATTAGCAACACAATTTTGGGATGCTGTCAGGGCTTCCCCAGGTGTTGCGATTTTGGCCTCCATATATGAATAACCAATTCCTTTTAGTTAACGAGATATGGCAATTTTCGAGATTTTTCAAAAATCTCTAGAAACCTTAAATTTGAAAAGTTTTGAAAAATTTGAAATTCTCATCACGTATTTGGGTGTTGCCAGGGTACTCTGAGGGGTTGCAAATCTTGCCTCCAAATCTCAGTTCTCAAACCTTTGTAGTTTTTGAGACATGACGTATTTTCATGATTTTTTCAAAAGTTTTCAAAAAACTTAGATTGAAAAAAAATTTGGAAGATTTCAATCCTGTAGTTGGAAACTGTGAGGGTAATCACAGGGGTTGCTAATCTTGCTTCTGAATATGATTTCTCAAATCCTGGTAGTTTTCGAGATATGTCGTTTTTTAGAATTTTTTCAAAAATTTTCAAAAAAACTTAAGTTTAAAAAGTTTAAAAAAGGTTGAAGATCTCAGTCCTGTTGTGTAAAACTGTAAGGACACTCAGGGATTGCAAAACTTGTCTCAAATTATGACTGCTCAAGTTTTTATATTTTTCCAGACATGACGTTTTTGTGACTTTTTCAAAAACGTTCACAAAAATTAATTTTTTTTTCTTCTGAATTCGAAATTCTCATTTTTGTAGTGGGGGCTCTCAGTGTAATCTCTGAGAGTAACCACTCTCATGGGTTGCGAATCTTGCCTCCCAGTATGACTGCTCAAATCCTTGTAGTTTTCGAGAAATGACGTTTTTTATATTTTTATTTTTCAGAAAACTTAGATTTTAAAAACTTCAAAGTATTGAAATTCTCAACCTTGTAAGTTGGGTACTGTTAGGGTATTCTCAGGAGTTTCATGCTGCACGTTTTGCATCCGATTGCGACTGCTCAAATGCTTTTAGTTTCCGAGAAACGGCGTTTTTTTGTCATTTTAAAAATTTTCAACGAACTTAGATATTTAAAAAAAATGCACAAAATTGTATGGTTTTTCAAACTTTGAATTAAAAAAACTTGAATAAATTTACAAAATTTGAAATTACCAACCCTGTAATTGAGTGCTGTTAGTACTCTCAGAAGTTTCAAATCTTGGGTTCAATTGCGACTGCTTCATTGCTTGAAGTTTCCGACAAATGGCGTTTTTCTGTCATTTTAAAAATGTTCAACGAACGTAGATATTGAAAAAAGTTCACTAAAATGAATGATTTTTCAAATTTTTAATTCAAAATCTTGAACTACTTTACAAAATTTGAAATAACCAACCCTGTAATTGGATACTGTCAGAGTAGGTTCAAAGGGTGCAGATCAATATCTGAGTTTTTGTGAGTTGTCATAAATTCGAAGCACCGAAGGTGCGTTTAACGCTAGTTGATTTTGAATTCTTTTTTAACGATGATGATTATAGTTTGACATGTTTTCCTCAAATTGATCATCATTTGAGGTAAATGAATGGAATTTATGTAGACCAAGTTTTTTCAATTTGATTTGAATTGTTTTCGGTCGACTAATTAACTTCGTCAGATTCTGTCTGTTTTCTCCTAAAATTGGTCGACCTAGATAGAATATTTCGAATGTTTGACCGATGAGTTATAATTACTTTCAGCAAGTTATCGTTTTGTTCAGTTTAATAGTTTTTTGTTGATATATTCGCGATCCATTACAGATTGTTGTTTTAAACAGTTCCCCTAATTTTGAAAAGTACCAATCGTATTTTTATACCGCATAATTTTACTTTTCCTTTTCTCATTTTCCCATGCCTTTTTGACATACCTTGCAACCAATTCAATCTGTTTTAATACACATAGTTACGAATCAAGTTAATAATTAAGAATAATTTTCAGTATCATCGCATATAACATATAACGCGGTTTTCTTTTAAAATTTTACAACTAAACAGAATAAGCAAATAAGCTGGAGAGTCAAAATCTATCTATCTATCTATATCTATCTTTCTATCTATCTATCTATAATATATTTAAATGCGAGTGACAGCTATCTCCCATGGTTAAGCATAATAATTTTGCATGTTTAACGAAAGAATTTTTTCATGTTTAAGCTATATCATATATTGCAATGCTTAAGAAAATTTTTCAATTAGTTTTCCGCAAGGTCATTAATTTTTCATTATTTTTTTCGAGGCCAAAGTCTGTCTGTCTGTATACCTGCTTTTTAAATTAATTTGATTATGTCTATCTACCCGTCGCCTAATTTTTTTACTTTCATCTATTATCTTTTACTATATAATTGAATGCGGGCTTCACTATCTCGTTATGTTTATGCTTTTTGAACGTATTATTTTTGCATGTTTAACAAAAGAATTTTTTCACGTTTAAGCTATATCGTATATTGCAATGGTTAATGTTTTTTTTTCGATTTTCCAGTTTAAATTCAGTGTTTATTTCATCAAGTTTGAAATTAGCAACCCAATAGTAAGATATTGTCAGAGTTTTCGCAGGTTTTGCGATTCTGGCCTCCATATATGAATAAGCAAATCCTTTTAGTATACGAGATAAGCAATTTTCGTGACTTTTCGAAAATTTCTTGAAAATTCAATTTAGAAAGTTTTCTCAATTTTTGCAATTCTCACCCGGTAATTGGGTGCTGTCAGGGTACTCTCAGTAGATTTTCAAAATTTCCAAAACGTTGAAGATCTCAATCCTGTTGTTGGATATTGTGAGGGTACTCTCAAGGGTTGAAAATCTTGCCTTTGAATATGGCTGCTCAAATTCTTGTAGTTTTCGAGACATGACGTTTTTTTTAGGTTTTTTTTTCAAATTTTTTTTTTCAAAACTTGAAATTTTCTTCTCTGTAGTGCGGCTTTGTCAGGGTACTCTCAGGAGTTGCGAGTTTTGCCTCACAATTAGACTGCTCAAATCCTTGTAGTTTTCCAGATATGACGTTTTTTGTGCTTTTTTCATAAAAATTTTCATGAAAATTAATTTAATTGTTTTTTCAAAGTTTAAATTTCCCAACCTGTTGTTGGGGGGCTGTCAGAGT